TTCTGTACTTTTTTTAAAATAATTTTCCACAATTAATCAAAATAAATTGTTCAACACTGCACCATACCGCCTTCAAACGCGTGCTTAAGTCCTGAATATCGTCGACTTAAAAACATAACCTCAATGAAGCCAAATAAGAACCCGTTTTCTACAAGTAACGCGGACTTATTCGACTATGAATTCATAAGAGCTTAAGACTTTCTTGAGTATCGACTGTGAATCTACAGCGATAAGCATTTACTTTCCTAAGCAAATGCTTAAGATTGCTTATACGGCAACTGTGAATCTAACCAATGCGACTGTGAATACCGGCCTAAAATTTTCTAGCAAGACTCGAGTCTGCTGCCACCTAGCGCGAAACTACTGAACCCTCTCGAACTTAGATTCTCGTTTATCTATACACGTACTCGAAGAATCAAGTGTTCACCAAACATGCATATCAATTTTTAATAAACACTTACCAGTGCGAGCCCGCGCTGAATCCAAATTGCTCTCCCTCGAATCCTGAAACACACAAGCAGGAGACTGATCAGTCTTTGAAGCTCCATTATTCCTTAGATGAGTGGACCAACGGTAGGTCGATCGGCCCGATTAAAAAGCTGACAAGCAAGAAGGCTAACCGGTGGATTTGTCATTGATTCCTGGCAAGCATGGGGTCAGGCTAGCACAATCGCTAGGAAGTGGCCGAAGCGTTTGCCAGGACATCAATACTTCCCAGTAGTCCGGGTTGCTGTGAAGCAACCTGCATTAGTCCCTGGTAATGCTTTCTAGGCTTTCACAAAAGAGAAAACCTTTGTCCCGAGCATCGAAATAAACAAACAGACGAGGGTGGAAGGGTGTTTCGGTAGCGTCCGGCGTTTCCGTCTCGCGATACCGCTCGGACAAGATTGCCAGTGCCCGTTTATCGCGGCAATTTGCGGGACAGTTGGTAAGAAACTTGCGCCGATTGTCCCGCGGGCATTAATTGGATACATTATACTCTGCGCTCTGCAACGCCGAGGAAGTCGAGCGTGACGATCGACCGGGAGGATCTGCATCGAGCACTCGACGCAGATATGAGAGGAGAATACTCTTCCGCCTCTGACTCGGTGCAACAAACAAAATCAGAGCAATTTGCACGAATTCGTCGATCCTGCGCTCAGCCAAGGATCGCAGGGACTAAGGAAGGGATAAGCCATGAAATAACAGAAAAAGAGGGCAATCGGGGGGAATAAAATCAGGCAAAACTGTATCGGAAGATAATAAGGGGGTAGCCGTGTACCGGTGATCGAGTCCGTTCACCGGAGAACAGGAATAACACGAGGTACCTAAGACGAAAGTCGAGGAAAAAATGATAAAAAGAAAGTTGACACTGGGAATTTCTAAGATCGACGACCCAACGGTCGTTGTTTCTTCCACCTTGAAAATATTTTGGAAAATTCCGATGATTATACATTTCAACAGGCTACGTCCATCTACGTAACATAAATAGAGTGTTCGGCGGAGGATTAAAATTGCAGCATGCGCCGTGTAGGAAAGTCGTGGTTTCTCTAATCCTGCCGAGTATATACTCGAACACGATCGTGCTGCGTCGAGGGCAATACATAAATTTTTCACGTAACCTGTACCAATAAAATGAGATAGCGGGAGTAGAAGGAGGCATCGACGCGATCCTGAAACAACTATACTTATCGAGGATCGTGCCTCGCAGGGTCTGATGGAACCCCGGCGTTTTCAGTCCCGCTTCTGTAATTACTATCCTTCCTCCGCGTATACAGCATCCTTGCTCGCCTCTTTATTCCGGTCCCGGGCGAAAAACGACGACGTCCCGTCGCGGGTATTACACGCGAAACTCGTTCCACGTCAATCTAATCAAACACGGCCGTAAATTTGTTAATGGAAGCCTCGGTGCGCCCTACCGAATCGTAAACAACGACCGATTAAAAAGGTCGGGGATAAGGTTCTTAAACGAGGATAATCGTAATCGTTAATTCTTTTTTCTCCTCCCTCTCCGTGAAAATTGTCGCGGTCCGTTCGAGCAGACGATCACGATAAAAGCATCGGACAATAATAAACAATGCGTGAAACGACAAGTACAGCCGTGCATTCCGCGAGATGCTATCGGCTGAGCCGAGCGGAGCCGCAATCAATCATTCGAACCGGATAAAATATAAAATACGCTAGCACCGGGGTCGATCCACGCCGCGCCTGTGTATGTGTTTGCCGTTTTATTTATTTGCACGGTCATGCAAGTTCCGCGGAATTAACGTATTTTTTGCACGCGACCGCCCGGATGACGGGTCGATCCGCGCCGCCTTTTATCGAGCTTTTATCGTTTGCCCGCCGCCTAGGACCTACGTCGCTTTATATTCCTTTTGAATCCAACTTCCATGCAAAAAGTACGGCCACTGGTCGGTGGCGTAAAATAACGAGACCTAGCGAGAGGAGAACAGGATGCTTAAAACGATTCGAGGCTGCAGGACGAAAGAGAGATCTCTGCTCTGGTAACGCGTAAACGACGAGTGGCGAGTTCATCGTGATGGATGGTACACGGTGTATCTTGTATCGCTTTATCGTGGGCTACCACTTGCTTATTAAACTGTTCGGTATTCGTCGCGGAGCCGGGTAACAAGACGGGCGAGGAACGGACACGAGCCTTTAAAAACGAAGGCTAAGCGGAGAAAGAAGATCGATGCTCGTCGTGGCTCGGTCAGAAACTTTTAATAAATGTCATCTGCTACCGTGGTAGCCGGACTCGTTATAAATCGCTACCGTGCGAGACGGTCTCTGTTCTTTTGAAACGCGTCAGAAAAATTATCTGATTCCCTGGAACCGTCTCGCAGCTTTGGTCTCGGTACGCGCGACGATCGGCCGCCATCTTTAGGAAAAGGGTAAAACTAAAGGAACTTGTACCGAGAAGAATAAATCGACTAAACTGATAGAAGATTCTAAAAATAAGACATTACCGCCGCTTCCTGTTGCGCCTACCTAGACTCTATGTTTAACTCCCGGACGGCGGACCATGGAGAGAGGCCGAGTAAAATCAAATCCTGCGCCAACTAATCGTCCAAGTTACTATTGCAAACAATTTTATCGGCACGCAAACGATTCTCGAGTTTACAAAAGAAAGAAAAACACATCTCTGGAAGTGATCCCCATCGAGCGGGGAATATCCGTGCGAGGATCGAGCGATAGTTTTCTGTGGACACCCGGTACGAAACGGATGATTGCGCCTCGCGAACGCAACAGATCGCTACGTTATTATTTTCGCCAGTTATCGAATTAGATGTTGGCTTAACGGGTACGTACGGACACGGTCTCCTCGTACCTGCCTCATAGGCGTACATACGCTGCTCTTCTTTGGAACAACCGTGTCCTTAGAGAAATGTCCTTTGGTCCTTCCTTTTTCTTAGCGATAAAAGTAGAACTGCTAAGATTGTTAAAGTTGCGAGCTGATAGTACAGACATGGGGAATTAGTGAGAGAGATGGTTCCTCTTCCATAGAGCAGACATTCATCGATCGAGGATGATCTAATGGCGGGAGTAGATGCAGGGAGCAACGCTTGGCGTTGACTTTTGCATCGACTGGTCGTGGCTCAATTTCCTGCGGGAGTTGTAAATTATGCCGATTCCAGATCGCACCATGGATGACGCCCATGGCCTCCTCTCAGACCGTCCTTTTCTCTTCCCGTTCCCTGTTCACCATTGCCTCGTCCCAACGCCCTCTACTTCTCTCTATTATCCCTCTCTGTCATTCGTCCGACTGCCTCTCTCTCTACCCTAATCCCCCTCGGATGTATCCGAGTACGAAAATAGGGGGCATCCCCGAGATTACAGCTCACTCGTTACTACTTACCTACAACGTACTTACGTTACTTTTAGAACTGCTTATTACTGTGATTACCGGCGCATAATGCGACGACCGAGCGTTCTACAATTTATTATTGAATTGCTATAATACGGAGCCGCGTATCAACCTTCCTCTACCACGTATAGCTTTTGGAAAAATACCCAGAGACCTGGCTAAATCTCAAATAAGACGGCATGAAAATCCTAGGTGTATTCCCTTGTCTCTGTTTCAATAGCAAAAGAGGTGAAAGTGGCTCGATAACCGAAAAGCGAAAGAGCCAGCGATGGCTCCATTAACATTTTTCCTCGTCTATGTTTTAAATTGTACGCTTTAGATGGCACCTCTATCTCGAGACTTTCCCCGGGGTAACCGCCGCATATGGAGCTGACCATTACCGCTTGTGCAGCTGGCCGAGTATTTTCCCGGGAAAAATCTGTCCGGCTATCTGTGTATATAACTAGCAGATCGTTAGATGTGGCGAATTTTTTCGTTTCCGATCACGTGAAATGCGGAAGAAGGTGCCCAAGGCGGCATACAAGACGCTACGAGGGACAAAATCACCGGTCTCGTCTTCTATCCCTCCATTCATTGTTGCTTTCATGTTTCGAAATAACATATTTAAAAGACGGGACCGATTTCTAGAGCGGGTAATTCTGTCCCGATAACGTTACACCTTGTTGGTGATATATACTTGCAGAATAGAAGAGGTGTAGGAATGTCTCCACCTAACTTGCTCTTAAGAATCTTTTTTGAAATTTCCCACCCTTCATATAGGGATGATGGTGCCACTTTATTTCAGGGAACATTATAATATTGTTAAATAGCCAATTGAATTTCCTTACTTTTATGGTTTTTAATTTTAATACGCCTTATGAGAACAGCTTTGTTTGCGACGTTTAATAGAAAAGAAAAATCATTGAAAAATTTGTATTTTAAAAAGACCGTCATAATTTATTTTAAAAATTCGATTCTATCGCTATCTACACACAAACAGAGGAAACTACACGACGAGTTACCGACCGATCCTGCAGCAGTCGCTGACTTATCCACCTGTCGATAATGTCGAGGTAAGTTGTTGAGTAGTTTCTGTCGTTTTTGTATAGATAGCGCTAGGGTCGAATTTTAAAAATAATTTCAAATTTGTCAAACAATTATTCTAATACTTTTTTGGTCTTGTACTGATTTTAACTGATTTTTGAAAAATAAAATCAAAGGGAGTCAAAGTTTTACTCAAAAGAGACGCGTTTTAGGCAGGGTCCATCTCGCGGCGACACGTGATCTTATCAGGGAGATTTCCCGGGTTAAATACCATCATAAACAGATTGATTTTGAAATTTTATGCAAACGTAAGTATTTTGTTATTTTGTTACAGATCGAAGACTTTGCTTGTATATATTTATAAACAACAGAACTATAGACTTAACTGGAGATTAATTATTATAGCGTTCATCGACTGTCAGCTGTCAATTGTGACGCAGTTTTGATTGTTGATTATAATTAACGATATCGTTGGAAGATAAAGCGAAATTCAAAGGGGAAAGTTTGCTTGAAAATGAGGTAATTCGATTTTTTAATTTTACTAAAGATTGAATTTGATTCTTGTATGATTTAAATCCTAACCTATGATGTAAATAATATAAATTTTTTTTTTAGAAAACATATAATTTATTCCAGTAGGATTACTGTAAGATTGATAGTAGGATTGTAATAGATTCCAATATGAATTGAAATGGTTGAATAACAAGCGATACAACCATGCAGAGAACAAATCTACCAATTGTACCCATGCAACTGGATTCTTCCATCGCGATCAAGATAAGCATGGGTGGATCAATGTTTCAAGAAAGAACATTAATGGGTCGTTCAGATGTGTGGCATAAAGTTAAAATTGTTAAAGGAACCCAATACAGCAAGGAGTCTGTATTGAAAGCTATTTTGAGTGCCATAGAACCAGCAGACCTGATCCCTGTTAAGTATCAAGCCAGTGGAGAAGACACCTATTTCCTAGCACGTAACTGTGCCCATGCACTTGACAAACTTTGTAAAACTAACTTAATCATTAAGAATCCAGAAGGAGATCCATTAATATTAATAGTAACTCTGGGATATGCATCCATTCATGATCTCAAATTAAATCTACAACCCCTGTTACTAGCAGCAATGTCCAAAAGATACGATTCAAATAAGAAATCTTTGAACTTGGAACAATTTCACAAAGATCCTGAAATGTTTAAAACGATTTACTGTCCATTATCCCAACCGAGAACTTTTAATCACGTTATGAAATTAATGAAAACAGCGATCGGTACTGTCGAACACCTGAATTTACAGAAGAACGAATTAACTAATCTGTCTGCCATAGAAAATTCTAATGTAACTACTATAAAGAACCTTGATCTAAGGTACAATCGTATAATTTCTATGGACGTGCTAGCTGCTTTGAAGGATCTGCGCATAACGAAGCTGTGGTTGGATGGAAATCCTCTCTGTGAAAATTATTCAAACTCAAAGCAGTACATACAGTCTGTCAAAAGATATTGTCCTCATTTGATTCTTCTGGATGGAGTTTACATTAGATCCACAGACCTGCCACTGATGTATGTTAATTATTTTAAAACTGAATCAAGAGAGGAACTAGTCACCAGATTTGTTAACCATTTCTTCAATTTATACGACCACGGCGACAGAACAATTCTAAGAGGACTGTATTATAAGAATGCATTTTACTCCATGAGCTTTGGTATCACGACCACTGTAGCTCAGAAAAGAAACCTTGGTCAGTTCACAGCAAACAGGAACTTACTGAGAAAAGTGGATCCTAATAAGAAACGACAGCACCTCTATTACGGTCAAGATAATATCTTGGGGGGTTTGAAAAGATTGCCAAGATCCTACCATGACAGAAATTCATTTGGATGCGACCTGATGTACGATGATGGTAAATGCTTAGCTATCTCTGTCAGTGGTTTGTTTAAAGTATTGATCAATTCCCCTCAAGTTTTATCGTTCAATAGAACATTCGTCCTGTTTGCTGGTCCTGATAACGAATACAATATTCTGAACGATCAGTATCACGTGGATTCGACCTCTGAAGAAATTTCTCCTAACAGTATAGAATCAAAGATCTCGTTCGAAGAGATCACGCCATTATGCTTCAGTACATCCGAAAAGAAAGAATTGTTTAATAAATTTATGGAAGTGACCACGCTGAACCACGAATGGTGTCATACCTATCTGGAAGAAGCTAAGTGGAACATAAGAAAAGCAATTTCAAATTTCATGAAGGATTACAAATCTTCAGCTATACCAAGTGATGCATTCTTAAGATAATATTGTACTTTTCTATGTGCAATGTGTTTCTGTAAATACTACTTGTAAAGAAGAGTATCTTTTTTATTGTAAGAAGGCACGTTCTCAACGATTCCATGAGTATAAAGTCGCAATAAAAACGAGATATCCTTGACAGAAGGGGCTTTTTTTTTTAAATAAAATATTTCTGTGTTAAGTCATACCGCAGCTCTATCACAGATCAACGAACGCGTCGTGATGTTACTCCTCTGGCATTTAGATGCTGCAGGATGCTCGATGGCTTCGTCAAAAGGTTATGCATTCAAGGATTATGACGATTACAAGGGATTGAGCAGTCATGTTCCATCGAATATCACAGTTAATTACCTAATGACCAGTTAATTAAACTTGGGTCTCTAACAAAAACACCAGGAACTTGTTAATAAGTCAAATGGCCCGTTATAGAAGCGGTGTGACCAGTTTGCAAGTTACCATTTCATTCTTGAAGAAAAGGCAATGAATGGTGGTAGAGGAGGAGGGGGGCAGAAGGTCGGTTGACCTCCCATTAGGAAAAACCTTCTTTTGTACTGAAACTTATAGTAAACTTTGTTTCTAATAAACAAAAATGAAAAGATATCAGGGAATAAATTATTTTGACCCCCCTATTGAACAATTATGGTTTTAGTTAACCATGACCCCCTTGTAAGGTGTTTTATTCAGATTGATAAAATCCTTATTTATATTGAAACTTTCAAAAAAATTTTTTGATAAACAAAAAAGGAAAGCTATAAAAAAAAATTATTTTGACCCCCCCCCCCCCCCCCCCCCCCCCCCCCCATTGGACGATCATGGTTTCAGCTAAAATCATCCAAGTTTCTGAGGTGTTTTATGATCAGATTGATCGAGTAAGTATAATTCTAAACGAACAATTAGAAGGTAAATAATCGCTTCCATATTTGTCTCTAGATCCCACCATATCCGCTTCCCATTGCGCAACCAGACCACTTCCTGCTCTCGAATCCTGCACGCAGGAAGATGCTACAAGATAAATAATCTCCCTGTCTGACAATAACACGCGTTACGCGATCACGTATATTTGTCGACCGAGTCATTTTACCAACAATTATAGCAACTGGCAGTACAATAAAATAATTGTCCTTGTTGTTGCCTAGTGTGAGACCACTGGCAATCTCTCACGAGAGTCTTGCCTGTAATTCCAACTAATATTCCCCCCGAGTTCCGAGAGGTCGTAACAACAGAAGGACGTCGAAGCGAAGCGGCTTGACCACGTGAAACGTGCATGAATGATATCCGAAGATGGCTGAGATCGATAACGAGTCAGAGAAAGTCAAATCATCGAGGTCCTATGGAAATTTTATCCTGACACGAGTAGAAACGTTGGTAGCACACGTGTATTGTATAAGAAACAAGGAAAATATTAAATAAATGCTGTAAGAATGGAGCAATTTTTAGTCCTTTGTGGCAGAAGTATATTGGGAAATCTAGGGATCCCTAGATTCGAAAAATTTTAAGTGTTTCCCTAGGGAAAACTAAAAAGTGTATTGTATAAGGAACGAGGAGAGTATTAAATAAAAGCTGTAAGAATCGAATAATTTTTAGTCCTTTGTGGCAGAAGTATATTGGGAAATCTAGGGATCCCTAGATTTGAAAAATTTTAAGGGTTTCCCTAGGGAAAACTAAAAAGTGTATTGTATAAGGAACGAGGAGAGTATTAAATAAAAGCTGTAAGAATCGAATAATTTTTAGTCCTTTGTGACAGAAGTAAATTGAGAAATCTAGGGATCCCTAGATTTGAAAAATTTTAAGGGTTTCCCTAGGGAAAATTAAAAAGTGTATTGTATAAGGAACGAGGAGAGTATTAAATAAAAGCTGTAAGAATCCAGTAATTTTTAGTCCTTTGTGGCAGAAGTATATTGAGAAGTCTAGGGATCCCTAGATTTGAAAAATTTTAAGTGTTTCTCTAGGGAAAACTAAAAAGTGTATTGTATAAGAAACAAGGAAAATATTAAATAAATGCTGTAAGAATCGAGTAATTTTTACTCCTTTGTGGCAGAAGTATATTGGGAATTCTAGGGATCCCTAGATTAGAAAATTTCAAAGGGTTCCCTAGGAATACTAAAGAGTAGACTCATCGAATTCTTCATTTAGAAAAATTTTCAAACATTTCCAAAGCATTAGCTAAAAATTATTTATTTTCATTTATGCCTTCAGTATTAATACTGAAGAAATGATTTTAGGTTATTAAAGGAAGCATTGGAAATTGATCTCCATAATCAGAGTCTGTCTTTTTAGGGTTAATAGAAAAATTGAGAAGGTCGATACAAAGTTGGCAAGACGTTTGCAATTGTAGAGAGAAAACGAAACGACAGGATCCAACCGAGCGACCAACGCATCCTTGTGCCACATTCGAACCGACAACGACACATTGGTAGCACGAAACTGATCCCGCGATTTCGTGATTACAACATACACTTTGTTCCTATCGAAAAGATTCGCTATCGCTTCGAAGAAGCTCTCTCCTTTGCCAATGAATTTCATCGAACACGGGATGAAATTGCATGGAAAAACGTAATGATCGCACCGGTCGGATGATCGATCGTCTCTGCCTCGGGAGATAAATGAAATCATCGAGAAACTAAGAAAGCATCTGAAGGATTTACATAAGAAACCTGTATGTGTATTCGAAATTCTCTCTGGCGATATATGTGTACTCCAGCGGGTAAACAACTTCCAGATGATTAGTTTGAGCATAATTTTGAGGTCTAACAGGCTGTTTGGTGTCCGTGAGATTCGTCGGGAGATGATTAATTAAAATGGAGCAAAGTTGCAGCATTTCACCGGTAATGAATGCGCGCTTCCCTCCAATTAAATTTCAGCCACTTCGGATCACGCAACACGCACGCTTTCCACCAATTTCTCGATAAATTAATATCTTTCATAGAAGGATTTCAAATGGTATTTGAAATACCGGGGCTCTCTCCATGGTCCGCCATTTGAAAGTTAGTTGAAAAACGTTCCATTTTACAGTAGTGTAAATAGGAGGAATCAAACAGACAAGCTAAAAACCTTGCTATTCTATTTTAATAAATATTGGGATTCTCTCCATGGTCCGCCATTTGAGAGTTAAGTGAAAAACGGTCCATTTTGCAGTAATGCAAATGGTATTTGAATTCCTTTGGAATTTTACACCGGAATAATCAGAGGAAGATTTCTAAAGAAGGGGGGACCAGGAAAAGAGATCGCTTCCGAACCGATCGCCATTGAACCCGCGTTCAATCGAGCAGCATGGAATCTCGCGTCGGAGGATCGTTTCCTGTTGAAGCGGTCGGAGATTGCCAGACGGATCCGTACGATCCCGTATAAATTCTATTTTCCTGGCATTGTTAGCCCGTTAGACTGGCGACTAATTAGCAACGAGGAGCCTCTCACTCGTTCGTGGTCCTCTCTCAGAAAATCTCTCACGAGAGTTGCGCATACGTTACCAGAGACCCCTTCCTCCTTATTTCTCGTTCATTCTCGCACAATTTTGCCATCGGATAACCGGTTGGTAACGCGTAACCCACATTTACGTAACGCGGTACTGGAGAAGCGCGAACAGGATACAGGTGGAAATGATCCTTTAATTCGTTATAGCGATCGAAGACGTTCGAGAAATGTTGGAAATGCAAAGGTCAGGATGATTGCTCAACAGCTGTCTAGAAGGATAATTGCCAATTAAATACGATACATTTTGCAGAAGTGCAAATGGAGAAGATAGGAAGGCGAGTTGAAAACCTTGCTATTTTATTTTAAGAATTATTGGGGCTCTCTCCATGGTCCGCCATCCGAGAGTTAATTCTATTTTACAGTAGTCCAAATAGGGGGAATCGAAAAACAAGCTGAAACCCCTGCTATTCTATTTTAATAAATACTAGGACTCTCTCCATGGTCCGCCATTCGAAAATTGAATGAAAAACAATATTGCAAACAGAAAAGATCAAAAGACAAGTTAAAACCTCTGCTATTCTATTTTAATAAATGTCAGGCTCTCTCCATGGTCCGCCATCCGAGGATTGAACGACTCCGAATTACGGAAGTACGTCGATCCTCGCCCGGAGGAATTCAGGTGGGTCGCAAGATAAATAATTGAACGGAGAAAAGTGAAACGACGGATAAATCCCCGTTCGACCGTTTGGAAATGAACATTCGAGCATATGTTCGGATTCCATCCGTAATCCTGAACGACACCTCGCGAAACGCAAGGAATCCGACAGAAAGTCAACGACAGGTAGACGCGAGTCGTATAGAAAAATCGTTGACGAGAGGAGACGGGGGAACCGGCTCGCTTGTATAACGGAGCCTCTTCCACGTTCCGGGACGCGTTTATGCAACTTTGCTTTCCGAAGATTCATACACGCACCTATTTGTGTTCGTACACGTGTGCGATTGGAACACGAGGACGGCGACACCGTGAGTGAAAGTTATGCCAACTGTTGCCTCGTAACAGCTCATTCGTCGTTAAATCGGCAGTGTTGCATCGGAAGCTGACAGAAATCGGTAATCTCTTCCTTCGTTACGCGAATGATAATTTTTTTTAAATCGATCCATGGATCTAGAGATACATTCCTAAGAACGATCATCCGATCATCCGATGAAGAAATTAGAAATTTCTTTCGTTTTATTAATGAAGGGATAATTATGATTGCGCCACTGATAAATGGAATGCTCATCAGGACTGCCTGCGGCGAACACTGGGAAATATCGAGTGTTCCACTGGCGAACAATATTGGGAAACCTTTGAAACGCGATTGTTACACGTATCTTGTGTTCCCGATAAAAAGTGGAGCAACGTTTTAACCAACGTCTCGTATCAAGAGCGCTCGACTTCCCATAGGTTTCCTATTGGAAAAGCCTCGTCATGGGAAAGCTTTCAACTCGGCGACACGCGATGGAAAACGCGAACCGATTATTAATTCCGGTGAAGTGTTAATCGCGCGGCACGAAATGGAAGAAATTCGATGGTAAGAGGCGAGTTGATTACGTAAAAGAGAGCCGCGTATCACGCTGATGAGCGGATAATTATTCCCTTTTTCGCACGGAATTGCACCGGCTCCGTGTAACAATAACGAGCTAGTGTAATTAAGACCTCGAGGCTACGTTACACCGATTAATCCTCT